CAAGGATAATAAAAAGTCCCTTTTCAGATATGCGGGGAGCCGGAGGAAAAGCGAGGGCAACACTGGACCCTTGCTGAACCAGATGGGACAACTGACAACTGATGCCCAGGAAAAAGCCAACCTATGGGTACTTTGCATCAGTCTTTCATCAGTCCCATGGGATGCCCATGCCCGCTATGGGACAGGGAGGTCTGGATGAGGGAGGTCTCCTGCCCTCCATCAATGCTGACCTGGTGAAGGAACACCTTGAGAGACTGAATACCTTCAAGTTAGCCAGCCCTGACAATCTACACCCCAGGGTACTCAAGGAGCTGGCGAGCATCATAGCCCAGCCTCTGGCATGGATCTTTGAAAACTCCTGGCACTCTGGTGTAGTGCCCGAAGACTAGAAAAATGCCAATGTGGTGCCTATCTTCAAGAAAGGGAGGAAAGTGGATCTGGCACACTACAGACCCATCAGCCTGACTTCTATCCTGGGGAAGGTCTTAGAAAAGTTTATCAAAGAGGCCATCCTTAATGGACTGGCCGACGCCAACATCCTGAGGGATAGCCAGCACGGGTTTGTTGTGGGTAGGTCTTGCTTGACCAATCTCATTATCTTCTACGACCAGGTGACCTATCACCTGGACAAGGGAGAAGAGGTTGATGGCATATATCTTGACTTCAAAAAAGCATTTGATCTGGTATCCCATGATCACCTCTTGGCAAAACTGGCCAATTGTTGCCTTGAGTCCACCACTATCCGCTGACTGGGGAATTGGCTCTGTGGTCAGACCCAGAGGGCGGTAACTGACAGAAGTCACTCATCATGGTGCCCTGTGACCAGTGGGGTCCCCTTAGGCTCTGTCCTTGGACCCATATTGTTCAATATCTTCATTAATGATGTGGACATTGGAGTCAGAAGCGGACTGGCCAAGTTTGCTGATGACACCAAAATTTGGGGCAAAGCATCCACACCAGAAGACAGGGGGGCAATCCAGGCTGACCTGGACAGGCTCAGCAAATGGGCGGACGAGAACCTGATGGTGTTTAACACTGAAAAATGCAAGGTTCTCCACCTTAGGGGGGAAAAACCTGCAGCATCCCTATAGACTTGGCAGTGCTACGCTGGCTAGCACTACGGAAGAAAGAGACTTGGGGGGCATCATTGACCACCAGATGAACATGAGCCTTCAGTGTGATGCTGCAGCTAGTAAAGTGACCAAAATGCTGGCCTGCATCCATAGATGCTTCTCAAGCAAAGCCCGGGACATCATTCTCCCCTTGTACTCGGCCTTGGTGAGGCTGCAGCTGTAGTACTGCATCCAGTTTTGGGCCCCACAATTCAAAAAGGATGTGGAGAAGCTTGAGAGAGTCCAGAGGAGAGGCACATGCATGATCAGAGGTCAGGAAAACAGACCTTATGACGACTGGCTGAGAGCCATGGGGCTTTTTAGCCTGGAAAAACGCAGGCTCAGGGGTGATCTGGTAGCCACCTATAGGTTTGTCAGGGGTGACCACCAGTACCTGGGGGAACGTTTGTTCACCAGATCGCCCCAAGGGATGACGAGGTCGAACAGTTATAAACTCCAGCAAGACCGTTTCAGGCTGGACACAAGGAAGAATTTCTGTACTGTCCGAGCCCCCAAGGTCTGGAATAGCCTGCCATTGGAGGTGGTTCAAGCACCTACATTGAACACCTTCAAGAGAAAATGGAGGCTTATTTTGTTGGGATCCTATAAACTCAGCTGACTTCCTGCCCCTTGGGTGGCGGGCTAGACTCGATGATCTTCCGAGGTCCCTTCCAGCCCTGGTGTCCATGGGGGTGGAAAAAAAATGCCTAGGGTTGAAATGTCTTCTTTTTTTCTCCCTGAATACTGTTAGATGGATAATGTAGGTGTGACTCTCAGTAGGTAAGAAAAAATGTAAAATATCAATGTTTTGCTTCAGGGCGTTCGATGGCTGCTAAGTGATGAAGGAGGGTCTTCCTTGATGTAAAGAGCTATTTCATTTAGTCTCTTCCCCTACAAAAATTAATTTTATCTATATATGAAACAAATAGTTCTGGCCACTTTCAGGAACAAGGTAGTGGGCTAGATGGATCTCTCTAACCTGACATGTCCACTCCTGTGTTTTCTATCTATAGCATTGCAGGACACACTTTCAAAGTTATTTAGGTGTTTGAAGAAGCAGGTGGATGTCTCACTCTTGAAAGTAGCACTAGACAATCATTTGCTTCAGCTGCCTCTGTACAAGAAGAGCACATCTTCCTTGGGCTCCTGCAGGATGGCCAACCCCTATTCTGGGAGGGCGATCTTCATGTAACCTTTAGCCACCTGAAGATTTAAAACAAGATATTTTTTACAACATGGTGTATTTTGAGAACTTCACACCTGCTTTCCCAAACAGACCAGAAAAACCTACATGGATCTTTCAGATTTAAACCTAGGGGCCTCAGACTTGCTTTAATTTCACTCTAGTCGCATAATATGGGGTCAGTAGGAAAGGCTGGTGAATCCCCAGGAGTGCTGTTCTAGTTTTGCCTCCCTCTAAATGGGTATTTTCCCCTGATCAAAGATAGCAGGAAAAGGTCCTTTGGGTGTTGCAGTACTAGATACAATCCACAAGGCACGGTAATTTGTATAAATAATACCTAGTTAGAATTTTATTTTTCATGTTCTACTGAAGTTCATGGAGTCAGCTGAAGCTAGGTGAAATCAATGGAGTAACTTCAAACTTACACCAGTATAACTGAGAAGCAAACTGTATCCAGAACAGTATAAATGGGATTGTCTCTTCTACAGTAAACAACTAGAAGTTGTTTGCATGCAGTCACGTGTGTTTACATGGATGCACGTGGTATTAAAAATGACGTTGTTGAAAATCTTTGGAGCCTGTGTACTAGTTATGTTGATCAACTACTGGTACTAGAATTTTTTTTTTCTGGTTTAAAATGCATTGGCTTTTATGTGTGAAATAAATGAGTGAAGTTGCCCCCTGGTCTGGCTACTCTGTAGAGAGGTTATGAAGCCTATTGCTAATGGAAACTCTGAGGGACTACTGGGGTCTAACAGAGCTAAATTTAGCTTAACTGGTAAAGGTCTAACTTTTTTTTTTTTAGTTTAAAAAAGAAGCATTTCAGTCCTGTCAACACGTATGTAAGTGAAAGTAAATATGTACTGGAATAGTTCTGTAGAAATCAGACTGTTACGTGACTAGGGTTAAACAAGGATTTGCAATGATTTTTTTTTTAATTGGACCAACTGTTGCATAGTTGGGAGAGATGTTTGAGGAGCTTTGTTTACAAAGTGCCTTTAAGTGTTGGTAGGATTGGGGCCTACGATCGTAATTCTTTCCTCTTCTGTTTCTGGTAATGTGTAGTGGTATGAAATGGCATTGGTTTGGGGACATTTTTAAATAGAAACACCCTTGAATCCCAATTGTCCACTAAGGTTTAGTTTTTGTTGCTTTATTTTAGTGAGAAAAACACAGGGATGATTTAATTGGTGACCACATCTCAGATATTTTTTTTTAATTTGTTTTTAAGGAACCATGTAATATAACATTTTTTGCTGTGTT